AGGAGAAGTGTGACATCAGGATTGGTGGAAGATCTATTAACAATCTGTGTTATGCAGATGACACAACCCTGCTTGCTGAAACTGAGGAGGACCTGAAGCGCTTGCTGCAAAGGGTCAAGGACTGCAGCGTTCAGTATGGATTGAAGCTCAATGTCATGAAGACAAAGATTCTCACCACTGGACCAATTGGCAGCATCAGGATGGATGGTGAAGAGATTGAGATTGTTAACAACTTCAGTCTGCTGGCTCCACAGTTATAACTCTTGGCACCAGTAGCCAGGAAATAAAAAATCGTATTGCGATGGGAGAGTTTGCTGCTAGGGCTCTCTCCAAAGTACTGAAGAGCAGTGGTGTCACTCTGGAGACTAAGGTGCGCCTGATACAGGCTATGGTCTTTACAATCACGTGTTATGCATCAGAGAGTTGGACAATGACTTAAGGAGCATAGAAAGATAACTGATGCCTTTGAGCTGTGCTGCTGGAGAAGAGTATTGAAGGTACCCTGGACTGCCAAGAAAACAAACAGATTCATCCTGGAGAAGGTTAAACTAGGCTGCTCCTTGGAGGCAAGGATTCTGAGGCTTCGTCTGACATACTTTGGACATGTTGTAAGGAGGGAGAGGTCCTTGGAGAGGGACATCATGCTTGGGAGGGTAGAGGGACGGTGCAGAAGGGAAAGACCCTTTATGAGGTGGATTGACTCAGTGACTGGGGTAATCGGGATGGGTGTGTCAGAGGCAGTGAGATTGTAACAGCATAGAGCAGGGTTTAGGGCTGTTGTACATAGGGTCGCTATGAGTCGCAAGCGACTCAATGGCACATAACAACAACAACAACAATACTTGGACCAGTAGACAGTTGTCAGAACAGAGCAGGGAAGCACTGCATGGTTCAAAATCAGGAAAGATGCACTCCAGGAATACATTCTATCTCCATTGCTTTTCAATTATATGTGGAACAGATCATCTGGGAGGCTGGGCTCTATGAGGAGGAATGTGGCATCAGGATTGGAGGAAGACTCCTCAACAGCCTGCATTATGCAGATGATAAAACCTTGCTTACTGAAACTGAAGAAAACTAGAGGCATTTGCAACCAGGGACTGCAATATGATTGAATCTTAACATCAAGAAAACAAATATTCCTACCACTTGGAGTATCATGATATATGAAGAAGAGATTGACATTGTTAACAGCTTCATCCTGCAGCTAGGTAATCAAAAGATTAATTGTATTGGGAAAATCTGCTGTCAGTGACTTTTCCAGAGTACTGAAGAGCAACAGTGGCTGTCTAGGGACTAAGGTACATCTGATCAAGGCCATGGTCTTCTCAGTTACTTGCTATGCCTCAGAGAGAGCACAGTGATGAAGGATAATAGAAGAATAGATGCCTTTGAGTTGTGGGCCTGGAGAAGGGATATATACCATGTGCTGCTAAGAAAACAAACAGGTGTGTCCTGGAGAGAGTGAAATCAGGCCACTTCTTGGAGGGAAGGATTTTGAAATTTCATCTGACTGACTTTGGGCATCTTGCCAAAAAGGACCAGTCCTTGGAGAGGGACATCATGGTTGAAAGGGTGGAGGACAGTGCAAGAGAATAAGACACTGGATGAGATGGATTGACCTAGTGACTGTGGTAATGGGAGTAGGTGTGTCAGAGACAATGATATTGTCTCAAGATAGAGAACGTTCAGAGCTGTTGTTACATAGAGTCACTGTGAGTTGCAGGCAACTTGATGGCACATAACAACAAAAATATAGACTAGAATAGAATTGCCCCAATGACTTTCAAGGCTCTTAACTTTATAAAATCATACTGCTACGTCTTTTTTCCCTGAATAACACCTGTTGAGTTTGAACCTTTTGGTTTGCAGACAAGAGCTTAACCACTGTGCCACTAGGAGTACTACTTCTTGACATATTGGATTGTATACTTTTAGTGTGTCAATTGTATGGTATGTGAATTATCTCAGTAAAATGGTTATTTAAAAATGCGAATGAAAAATGCGAATGAATGGAATTCCAAAATCTCTGTAGATGTTCATTGAAATAATAAAAAAAATGCATATGTGATACAAAGAACATTTTTGCGAGACACAATAAAAGACCTAAATATATGGAGAAATATTCCCTGTTCATGGCTAGGAAGACAATATTGTGAGAATGACAGTCCTACCAAAAGCAATCTACGTGTTCAGTGCAATCCCAATACAGACACCAAATTAATTTTTTCAAGGATATTGAAAGGGAAATTGTCAAGTTTATTTGGAGAGGAAAAAGACCTCAAATAAGCAAAATAGTTCTGAAAAACAAACATGATGTGGAAGGCATAACACTCCCTGACTTCAAGACCTACTACACAGCAGTAGTAACCAAAACAGCATGGTACTGGTATAAGGACAGGGACTTAGACCAATGTAACAGAAATGAGAGCCCAGAAATGGACCTATCTATCTATAGTCAACTGATATTCAATAAGGAAATAAAACCTATCAAATGGGGAAATGACAACCTCTTCAACAAATGGTACTGGCAAGACTGGATTGCTAACTGCAGAAAATGGAAACAGGATCCACATTTCACATTATACACAAAAATTAACTCAAGGTGGATCAGAGACCTGGGAATAAAGTCCCAAACCATGAAAGTCAGAAGAGACAAACTAGGATCAAGCTTAGAAGGCGTAGTCTGCGGTATAAAGAGACTAAAATACAGCCAGAAATGCAGAATTTGAAGAGGATAAATTGATGAATGGAACCCTCTAAAGATTAAATCTCTATGTTTATCAAAAACTTTTCCCAACAGGGTAAAAAGAAAGCCTCCTGACTGGGAGCAAGCATTTGGCAATACCATCTCAGACAAGGGTTTCATAACAAAAGTTTACAGAATACTCCTGGGCCTCCAGAAGGAAAAGGCTGATCACACAATTACAAAACGGGTAAAAGACATGGAAAGAGTTTTCACAGAGGAAGACATTTGGATGACCAACGGATATGAAGAAATGCTCTAAATCACTGGCAATAAGAGAGACGTAAATCAAAACCACAATGAGATACCATCCTACCCAAGTAGCAGTGGCAAAGTTTAGCAGGGCAGCAAGTATTAAATATTGGAGATGTGGTGAGATAGGAACTCATACATGTTGTTGGTGGGATTGTAAAATGGTACACAGTGGAAGGCAGTTTGACATATCCTCAAAAAGCTGAACATAGAAATTCCATATAACCCAGCTATTCCACTGCTTGGAATATAACCCAAGAAAACGAGAACTGTGGCACAAACAGACTTGTACACCAGTGTTCATACCAACGCTATTCACCATAGCAAGAACATGGAAACAAATGCTCAAACCACAATGGGATGGATTGAGAAATGATGATACATTCACATGAGGGAATACTAGGCAGCACACAAGAGAAATTATTTTGCAAATTACTACCTAACTTGGGAGGGACTAGAAAGCATTATGCTAAGTAAACTAACTCAGTCTCATGAAGATAAATACTGAATAAGATCATTATTGTATCATGAATATGAGGATCCAAAGAGGGAGGGTTTAATCATATGACCACGCAATTTTTTTTCTCCCTTTTCAAAAAAATTTTATTAATTTTAATGAACATTTAGAGATTTTGGATTTCCATTCATTCATTGTTGCACTTTTCTCCCTGCCCAGCCCTCTCCCCACCCCCCAGTTCGCATATCTCTTTGAAAAGTAAAAGAAAAATTCTTTGGTATACAATCCCCCACCACCACCCCGAGTACACTACACTATGCAACCTTCATTCTGGACTCTTGTGATAATGATAATAGGGTCATACAATTTGATAGATGGAGGGAGGAGTGGGTAAAGGAAAAGGGAAAGATCCCATGTGAAAAATAATGTATATGAACTTTATGAACTTTGTAAGTAAACCACTATAAAATGATATTTTAAAATACGTACATGCAGGAGATGCAGTGTTTAAATGAGGACATTTGAAACAAATTTTTTTTTTAAATCCAATTTGATAGGGAGCTCTAGTGACCTAACAGTTAAGAAGTTGCTCTTCCCACTTTCTCAAAAAATTGGAAATAGAGATACCATTTGACCCAGCAATTCCACTACTGGGAATATACCCTAAAGAGACCATAAATGACATCCAGGCAGATATATGCACACCCATGTTCATCGCAGCTTTGTTCACAATATCTAGGAATTGGAAACAACCTAAGTGCCCATCAACAAATGAATGGATAGAGAAGCTGTGGTATATTCACACAATGGAATATTACGCTGCAGTGAAAAACAAGGAACTCATGCAATATTATTCAAAATGGGGGACCCTGGAGGACATTATGCTGAGTAAAATATCTCAGTCACAAAAGGACAAATACTGCACGGTTATAGGTAGTGACTGACATCAGGATTGGGGTAAAACTGAGAAAAACTGAATCGATTATGTATACTGAATTGAAACAGATGAGAGAGAGACAGTTTAAAAGTGATATATGATAGCATGTTATGATTATCACAGGAATCCAGAATTAAGGTTGCATAGTGGAGTGCATTTGGGGCAGGGCGGGGGATGCTGGTTGGGTCGGAGGTGAGGGGGGGGCAGTGGATTGTATACCAACAAAGAAGTTTATCTTTTGCCTTTCAAAGAGAGGAGCAAACTGGGGGGAAAGGGGTAAAGAAAAAAGTGCAACAATGAATGAATGAAAATCCAAAATCTCTGTAAATGTTCATTAAAATTAATAAAATAAATTTGGGGGGAAAAAAGAAGTTGTTCTTCCAACCAAAGGCATATGGTTTGAATGTACCAGCTGCTGGAAGGAAGAAAGATGGGCAGTCTCCCATTGTGCATTACTTTACTACCTGTTTAAAGCCACAAGATGGTGAGGTAGGAGTCTGTTCTGATCCAGTGGTACCCAACAACAACAACAAACAAATAATGATGATACTTAAATTTGCTTAAAAGAGATGCTAAGTTAAACATTTTCTTCTTCTATAGAGAACACAATGGTAGGTGAAGAGAATACATCTCTAAGAAACCGACTGTCTAAGTCCAGTGATAAAAATCTTGAGGAAGATGAAGATAAGACAGACACTGAAAAGGAGTCTGTAGAGAAAACTAACAATGGTAAGATTTTGTATTTTTATTTTATATTGGTTTGCATACAAAATTTGAATACACTGTTTCATTCATGTACATTGTGTTTCACATATTCCTTTATTCCCAGTGTTTCATACAATCATTTCCGTACACTTTTTTATAAAATGAATCACATTGATCTATGCCCACTATCACCCTGTCTTTTCTGGTCCCCACTAGATGTATTCTAATTCCTTCACCCTCTTTATCCACCCACCAAACTGTGCCCAGTGATTTGGCTCTTCCTACCCCTAGTCCTAAGAATTTTTTTTTAAACTAAATTTGATCATTTAGTGAAATTTAATTGTTTTCTAGGACAAGGATTACTCTCTTTTTTATAAATTAGTACTACTGATAGTATAAAGGAACAGAAGGAAAAAGTAGATAAAAAGAATGGAAGGAAAGACTTTGATTAATATTCCAGTCACATCTGCCTTCAGAACTGCCAGTGAGATATCTATACATTTTGCCCTCTAATCCCTAACTCCAGTTGCTACAGAGTTGATTCTGACTTATGGGAGCTCCATAGGTATGGAAGTAAAATTGATCTGCAAGATTTTCAATGACTGAAACCTGAAGTTAATACTTGACCTGCCTTCTGCTGTGCTATTGAGTAGATTCCAAGCACTGACCTTTTGGTTAGCCAAGAGTAAACAGTTTATGCAAACCAGGGATCCTAATTCATATTAAATTTAATGAGCATAAAGAGACAGTTAGCAGGGGAACTAATATAGTTAAAAAGTCCAGTGGCATAATGGTTAAAATACTTGACTGCTAACTGAAATCTTAGTGAAAAGCCTACCAGCTTTTCAGGTAGGGGAAAGGTAATGTGCTGAATGTGCTGTGTGATTCCATGAAGATTACAGCCTTAGGAACAATATGTGGACAGTTCTGTCTAGTAGGGTCACGATGAGTTGGAATCATTGAGATGGTTGGGGGGTTTGGTTTTGCTTTGGGTAACATTTGGTTGGTAACATTATATTTGGTTAACATTATTAAAGGGGCAAACCGAGACATTGCAATTAATCAGTACTGAGCTAGAAATCTTGAGAGAAAGGGAAAAGTGAGGGGATTTTGTCAGTACTTTTAAGTTTGCATGAATACAAAGAACAGTTTGATATAGTGTTCCTTGCTAAGGTCAGGATTTGTATTTATGATCTATAGACCTGTCAACAAAACTTAGCTGACATCATCAATTGCATCAGGCTGTTTTGCCATAACATTTGTGTAGGTTTGACCTCAGTGCGGATTTGAAATTTGAGTCTTGTTTGATTAGTAGGAGTGGCACTTTATGAGACAGGTGTCTTTGACATTCCTGATTTCTTTATAAGGATGCATTCTTTTGCTCTTCCTACTTAAATTTAATTGTAAATAGCTGGAGCTAAATCCCACTTGGAATATAAATACTGTTATAAATGGGCTAAAAAATGTCATTTCTGGGCGAGCTCTGGTAACCTAGTGGCAAGAAGCGGCACTGCAATTCCAGAGGTGTGCGGTTCGAATCTACCAGATGCTCTGCTGGAGAAGGAGGGACAATCTCCTCCTGTACCAGTCAGATCTGATTTGACGGTACACACACACAAAAATAAAGTCATTTCTTTATTCTTTGTGTATACTGTTAAGTGATATTAATTGTATTCACTACATTTATTAGCAATTTATGATATATTGTTTATAAGGAGCCCTACTGATAGTATATTAAACACCAGGCTATTGTCCCAGAGGTGAGCAATTGAATCCGCCAGCTGTTCCAGGATAAAGAAATATGGGTATTCTCTAACAATTACAACCTGAGAAACCCATTTAGAGGGTCAGTATGAATAAGAATCAACTTGATGTCAGTGGATTTGGGGGGGGGTGTGCATGTATATTTATATATAGAATTCTGGTGGCTTAGTGGTAAGGAATTGCACTGCCAATGCAAAGATATATAGATATTTATTTTATATATATATGATTTATTTATTATTATTTGAGTGAAAGCTTACAAAGCAATTATTGTTTTTTCTATAATTAATACACATTTTATCCTGTAACATCAATTACAGCACCCACAATGTCACGTCGTCCATTCATTCCATATTGTTTTCCCCTTCCCCATCTTACTGTTTCTTTTCTATTTATGAATTTTTCACTCTCTCTTACCCTGATTCTCTGTTTGTAAATCTTCTTTAGCTCTTTATAATAGTAGTCGTATACAGTATTTGTGACAAACTTATTTCACTTGGGATATTATCCTCTACATCCACCGATATTATGCAGTGTTTCACTATTTCTTTGCTGTTTTTTTAATGTTGCATAGTATGCTGTGTGTAAATGTACTGTAGTTTCTGTATCCATTCATTTGTTTATACCCATTTGTGTTATTTCCATCTCTTTGTAATTGTGAGCCAGGCTGCACTAAACATTTGTATGTATCTGCTTGTGTCACATTTCATTTCTTTCAGATGGGCAGTCTCCTCCCATGCCGTTTACTGCCTCTGAAAATCTACCAGAAGATCAGCTTTGAGTCTGTCCTGACTCCACAATGCAATATACCTTGAAAAAATATACACACACACATATATATACATGCATATTCATACATATTCATATACATATACATATACGTATATATATAACTCAATATAGTTGAATAGCTGAATCATGGTATTTCCATTTTGGAACTTTTTAAGGAAATGCAGGCTACTACTTTCCATAGTGCTTGTACCATTTCACATGTCTACCAGGTGTATATAAGACTTTCAGTCTCTCCATACTCTCCCCAAAATTTATAGAACTTAGCTGTTGTTGCTGGGAAGAGATGACACATCATTGTTATTTTGATTTGTGTTTCTCTAATACCCAATGAGCTTGATCTTTTTTTTACATGCTATTTGGCCATCTGAATGTTGCTTTTGGTGATGAGTCTTTTCACATTTTCTGCCCATTTTATAATAGGATTTTTTCTCACTGGAGGCTTTGGAGTTTTCTATAAATTTTAGATATGAGTGCCATGTTAGATGTGTCATTGTGAAACACTTTTTCCCATCTGTAGGTTCTCTTTATTTTTGAAAAAGTCTTTCAGTGTACATAAGAATTTCATTTTAGAAGACCTCATTCATCTAGTTTATTCTCTTTTAGTTGTGCAGCTTTTATTATATTTGATAGTCTATTTATGCTGTAGAGGGTTGTTGTGTGCCATTGAGTCAGAACCAGCCCACAGCTGACTGACCCTTCAGCAGGTTTTCAGAGGCAGTAAATCACAAGAAGATTGCTCATCCTTCACCCTGTGGAGTAGCTGGTGGATTTGAACCACATGCCTTTGAAGATTGCTGTGTAGCTTCTTAATACTCATATTGACATTTTCTGTCACTGAGTACTTCTCTTTATGTTCCAGTATTTAAGCTTAAAGCTTAAATTTAAAAATTATGACAAAGCAAAATACTACAATGAAATGTGCGAGGAACTAGAGTCAGAAAATCAAAAGGGCCGAACTCGCTCAGCATTTCTTAAGCTCAAGGAACTGA